GCCCGGGAGGCCCCGCCGCGCCCGGGACCGTCCCGCGGGCGGCCTGCGCCCGAGCTGGCCTGCGGGGCGTGCGCCCGGAAGGGAGGGGGCGTTTGTGACTAAGATTCTTTCGTATATTTTAAGTGTTGTAAGCAAAATAATTGCGAATACGTGGAGGTGGTTTTGCCGGTGTGTTTTATATTAGTTTTGTAACTTCTGAACGCTTTTGAAAACATTTTTTTTTTTTTAAATGTATGGAACTGTTCTGTCAGCTTTCAGCTTCCTAATTTGCTTTCCTATTCACCAAGTGCTAAGAAGGTATGAATGAGTTTGTACTGAGCCAGTAAAATCTTTTCTGAAGAGCCTGCCGTCAGAAGCCAAAAGATCTGAGTTGTATTCCTCATGCCCTTGCATGGCTGTTAGAAAAATAAATTAAGAGCTCTGTGACATCAGTTGCTAGTTTTGCATAGCAGGCTTGCTTTGAAAGTCTTTCTTACTTGGTTGTTTTGGGTTTGTTACTTTTGTTGTTGTTGTTGTTGCTTTTGTTTGTGAACTGGGACTTTTTATCTTGGTTGTCTTCCGGTGTGCACTTCTGAGATGAAATTTATTTCAATAACTAAAAAAGATGTTAAGAGTAACAGATATAAGAAGCTGTGATCCTACACAGAGCAGCAGACCTGTAAACTTTGGCCCAGCTGAGCAGTGAACTGCAGTAGCCCAGTTTTATGAAGTTACTAGGCTTTATTGTTTCCTGGCTTGCCTCTCTGTTTCTACTACTGCTGTACTAGGCCTGTTGCAATAACGCATTCTTTGCTACCTGACATGTCCCCAGTGATGTTGACAGTGCTGCTGAACCAGCAGTGGTATTTCTCACCACTCCTCATTATGCCCAGTAAGGAACTTCTCTGGCCCCTGTCCTGTTTGGGATTTATTGTATTTGTAGGTCTTTTAATCACGGGTGGTCACAGGTGTTCTTTTCTCTCCATGCTAAGGCAGCTTATGTGACAATAAATACAATGTTAAACTATTTCACTTGTTTGTCGATATGTGTCTTAGATGCTTTTGCCAGTAATTGCTAACTGTGTAATTATTTCATTAGGTATTTATTGCGCAGTCAAGAGCTTCTGGAAGCCACCGAGATCTTGAAGATGAGGAGCTTACACGAATCTTTGTTATGATACCAAAAACCTACACAGAGGAGGATCTGCGGGAGAAGTTTAAGGTTCTGGTTCACTCTTTGTTGTTATTTTAAAATGCCTTTTTCTAAATTTATTAGAATGGCATAACACATGGAACTTTTCATGGTTTTCAGATATTGAAAATGAATATGTTTTTTCATTTTTCTAGATGTATGGAGACATTGAATATTGCAGCATTATTAAAAACAAGACTACTGGAGAAAGTAAAGGTTTGGGCTATGTCAGGTACCTGAAACCATCACAAGCTGCCCTAGCAATTGAGGAGTGTGATCGAAGTAAGAATCCAAGTGAATTCTTTCAGGGTTTTTTTCCAATAAATGGGTATCACCATAATATACCTTTAATTTTTAGTTTTGTTTGCAGCTAAATTATTCATGGTGCAGAAACATGTTAAGACAAAGTTTTCTTGCAAATATAAATAGCATTGTTAGCATCCATTGAGAACAATCACCTGATTATGTTTTTTCAGGACCAAACTGCAAGTAGGATCAGTGAGAAGGGTTTGGAAATGAACACAGAGTTTTCTTTTGTGCATTATTATTGATCTGTAGTGTAGGCTTTGTATACAGGAAAATATTTTAATTCATTCTTGCAAATAGGCAGTTTTAATCAAATGTATTTGATATAAAATTAATTATTATATAAAATACATTGCATGATACACAGGGAATCTGTTGTGATCACATTTATTTAAGAACAAATTAATGCTAACTGAAATTGGGGGAAGAGTGCTTGTTTTTGTTTAGTGTCATGATTTATCTGCTACAGAGTGAAAAACTTTGTATGCTTTATGTATTACCAGTCACTTGGTGAGGCACTGGAACAGGTTGTCCACAGAAGTTGTGGATGTCCCATCCCTGGAAGTGTCACAGGCCAGTTGGATAGGGCTCTGAGCAGCCTGGTGTAGTGGAAGCTGTCCCTGCCCAAGGCAGGGGGTTGGAACTTGGTGATCTGAAAGTTTCCTTCCAACCCAAACCATTCCGTGATTCTATAAGTTGTCACTTATGCTTCAGTACCAAAAGTTAATGAATTTGAGTGAGGCTGGTGGAAGGATGTCAGGGGCTGGAAGCACAAGACTTTGGAGTAGAGGCAGAGGGAATTGGGTTTGCTCATCCAGGAGAAGAAAGGCTTTTGGGAAAACCTAACAGCTGTCTTCCAGTCCTACCTCCTGTTCAGTGTTGCTTAATCATAAATACAAAACAACTTGGGGTGTGGTTATTTGTTCTGATTTTTTTTATGCTTTCTTTGGTTCTTTTTTCCTCAGTAATGTGTGTGGTGGTTCTGCATTGTCTCTATCTTAAGTGGTTCTACAGAAATTATATTTGTGCATAGGAGTATGAACCTGAGATTACTTCGCAGTCAAATTGTATTTCTTTTTTGCTGTGAGGTTAAAATGAAATTAGTTGGATAGCTTCAGTGTAATACCTCTTTCTTTCATAAAAGCAGAACCTAGATGAGTGTAAAACATCCATAAACTACTGTTTTAGCACAGAAGTTCAGGTGATGGTTTCTGGAGCATCTCAGAATCCTGCTAAGTATCACAGAATGATGGTTGAAGTTGGGAGGGATCTCTGGTCATCTTGTTCAACCCCTTGGCTCAAGCAGGGTCACCTGGGTACTGGTGGCCCAGGACCATGTCCAGGTGACTTTTGAATATCCCCATGTACAGAGACTCCATCACCTTTCTGGGCAACCTGTGCCAGTGCTCAGTCACTCTCATGGCAATTAGCCTCTGTCATGCTTAACTTGTGAGTAGGAGTAATTCCATTTGAAAGCTGTTAACTTTCACAAAATTATTTGGGAAGACTTCAAGACTTATAATGTAGTTATTCTCTAAAGCTAGCACTTACTGAGTTTTCTGAATAATATGTTTCTAAATAGGGAACTTGAAGAATGTGTGCCTGCTCAGATAACTGAGATGTGCCGAGGTGTTGTTATGTGTGTGGTTGTTTCTTTCAGGCTACAGGGCCATTTTGGCTGAACCCAAAAATAAGTCATCTGAGTCTTTTGAACACGATTATTACAGTAATGTCATGAGACCAGAACTAAGAGGAAATACGCTTCCATTTTGTAAGTCACAGCTTTTTACACTAAAAATTATTTGTAGTCTGCAGTATGGTTACTAAGTAATAATGTGGTTTGGAGGAAGGGAAGCTGATGGAGTCTTAGGTCAACACTTAATTAGCAGATTGGATATTGAAGTTAGAAACTGGCCAGGCATTTAATCTCTCTACTTTTATGGCTTGCTTTGCTCTGGTTGCCCAATTATTTTGTGACCTGCAGTGGTGAAATCAACATGTGACCTTTAGCATATAATTGACTTGGATTACTTTTAAAAGTTGAATGGAACATATGCACGAAATGAAGGCATGCAAGTATGATGACTCAGATTATTATTTGTGGATTCCCAAGGTATGCAGCCAGAATTTTGTGGCTTTGAAAAAGCTGAGACCCGAATTCAAGAGCCGGTCTCCAAGCGCCTGTCGGTGGTGTCTCGGCTCCCCTTTATCCAAGAGCAGCTCTTCGCCCTCTTCGATTTAGTTCCAGGTCTGGAATATTGTGATGTTCAGAGAGACCCTCATACCAATAGTGGTAAGTAAATGTGCAAAAGGTTTTTGTCTTTTTCCTCTGAAGGGAATCCCTTGTAATTGTACTTAATTCATTTGCACTGCAAAATACAGTACACTTGCTGGAAACAATCAATGGTTGCTGGTATCACTGCATACGCCCCAAAATTCAGTTTTGTTTAAACTCATATTTACACAGGGCTTATACCTTCACTTTCAGATAATAAAAACTCAAGAAGGATGGAATCAAAGTCATGATAAGTGGGTTTTAGTCAAATTAATAGTTTGAGGCAGAATAAATGAAGTTTCAGAAATTGTTAGACATTAAAGTAAAATGTTTTCTAAACAGATCTTTGGAATTTTTCATTCTGAAATATGTGCATGTGTAAAAGTTCACATGGGTAAATGAGGATTAAGTAATTCCAAAATGGATCATGTTTTCTACTGAAAGATTGCTTGGTTTCAGTCTTGTTTTACTGCTGCTGAGACAAATGTGGAAGTGTTCTCTTCTCCAAGAAACTTGAAATGTAAATGATTCAGAAAGTTACATTTTAACTTTACAGTTCTTGAAATTCACTGTAGATGGGATAATTTTATTCAAAAATGCAATTATGTATCCTTTTGTTACTAGTTGTGGAGTAGTGAGGAAGATGTGTTTTCACTTGTGTGGTTTTACTGTCAGCTTTTCAAGCTAGCATAAACACAGCTCACCTGTCACTAGTAAATTTCACTGAAGCTTCCTTCACAAATAAAAGTGATGAGGTAATAATGATGTGTGCTAAAAAGAATTTTGTGTCATCCATGACTGATGTGCAGTTTAAACATATTGCTTGTGTGAGTGCAGTGTGTTGTGAGGAGTTACCTGTTTCCTGCTGACGCTGTGTGCACGGTGCTTGCAGGGTACGCTGTGATTCAGTACAGCACTGCTGCCTCAGCTATATATGCCAAGTACAAACTCCACGGGTTTGAGTATCCTCCTGGAAATCGACTAACTGTCATTTTCCTAGAAGATGGGAATGACAGCTCAGAGTAAGTACAACTTAAAAGTTGGAAGTTACATTCTGGAGAGCAAAGTAGAAAATAAATACATTTTTTAACATAAGATGTAACATCAGTGTCACTGTGAGCTTGTGCCGTACTTGCCAATAGTATTTTCTGAAACTGTTTGGTTTGGGATTTTCTTCTTAAATGGTTTAGAATAAGCCTTTTGAAACTTAGTAGTCTTGGTAGATTAAGAAGATATTAAAATGAACATTCTTAAGATATTATCTAAAAATCTAGGATTTGGCAAGAATCTGTCAGTATATCTGTAACATGTAACAAGGCTGGAATGTATTTTTGATGAATTTTATGAATTAGAGCTAGATTTATGTATTTCATCTCTTGGTTGTGTTTGCAGTAGTGTAAGTAGTAGTTTTGTGAAGCACATATGTAGAGTAAGACTTTTGGGTACTGAGGATCTGATATTGGCACAGTATGGGGAATTCTCAGGTGTTTGAGCATCTCTGACTTCTTCCTGTGTTTTAAATGCCCAGTATGAGGTGGAGCAGCTTAAGCACTCTCCTGCAGTGAGTGTTTTGCCTTAGTTTCATCCTGAAGGAATCCAGTTCATGTCAAACCTGTTCTGGGAGATGAAGACAGTAAGGAGGGGCAGTGGAGAGATTCACTTCAGAAGTGTGTGGCTGATCTGAACTAAAGCCAATGTTCATTGCAACCCTCATTCTTCAATAATTGCTATGTGGTCTTGCAACACAGGCTGTGTATCTATGCAAAAAGAGCAATTGCTTTTTCATACTCTGCAACAGAATAAAGAAAAATCACTGGAAAATGAGAGCTGGAAGTAAACTTTCTGTGGTAATATTTTGATCTCTGAACTGAATCAGTGTTCCTTTATGAAAACAGGTGGACATTTTTTTAGGCATGTCTCACAAAATGTAGTGGGCTCTTGTAGAGATATTTTAATCTTTTTTTTCCCCCCTAGAGTGTTAAAAACCCCAAAGAGTAGTTTTATGTATCTCTTAAGTGGTAATGAATGAATGAATGTTTTCAGTGAGTTGCAGCTAGCATGCAGGCTTTCAGATCTCCCTGTAGGCTGTCATGAAAGCCTGTCTTGATTTTTATTATCTACACGACATTACAGATTTCTAGAGATACTCTGATGTGTATTAAAACTTGCTAAATTTAAGATTGCTGCACCTTAGCTCTTTCTTTAAAGTAGTTTGTTACCACTTCTGCTTGCAGCCTTATCAGGAAGATGGCAGCGCAGCTGGTGACGGCGCAGGTGTCGTCGGCGCTGCGCGGCAGCAGCGCCATGGTTCAGCAGTACAGGACGCCTCCTGTAAGTTCCGAGCACGGCCGGCGGTGGTATTCTGCTGACTTGTTGTAAGAAGCCTCACGTATGCCAATAAAGAGCACTGCTCACTTGCTTCTGCAAACTGTTCTACGTGCTGCATCTTTATTCTCTGGAAACGTGGCTGACCTCGCTTGAATTTATTGTCCAATTTAATGAAATAACTAAAGTAAATAAAGTAATGAAGATTAGAACTCACAGAGTCTATTTATGTCTTGTAATGGAACAAAAATGGTAAGAAAGGTAAAGTTACTTCCCTGCCCCCCACCACCAGTTAACTTATACTTGCATTTTTTTTCCCTTGTTTCAGCAAGCATTTGGAGGAGCTTCTGCCCCACAGTTGCTGCAGCCCCAAACAGATGCCATACTTCCACCACCCAAAAAAAAAGTTCCATCTGACACTGCTGTGAAAGAAAGGCTTTTCATACTTTTTCATCCCCATCCTTTACCTGTAAATGTACTGGAGGATGTGTTCTGGTAAGACTTTGTTTACAAATAAGTGTTTCCTAACAAAAAGGAAACAAACGATGAAATATAGAAAGTAAATATTGAAAATAAAAAACAGGGTCAAATAAGTGTTTCCTAACAAAAAGGAAACAAACTATGAAATATATTGAAAATAAAAAACAGGGCCTGAAAACTCTTTCCAGAAAAGGCAGTGCACAGTAACTATGAAGTTGTAAGTGAACAGTAGGTAACAGTTACTTTTTGAAAGAAGTGTGTAATGGGGTTCATGTTGAAGCATATCTGCAGTATCATCAGTATAGCAGCTTTATTATCCCTTTACTTAATCTGAAGTAAAATGTCTAGTCTTCTAATGTAGATTTTTTAACAAAAAAAAATTAGTACTTCCAGTTACTATTTCCTAATTAATTTTACATTTTCTTTTACTTATTTTTGTAACGCATTTAACTATTTTGATAAATTTCCACAGTAACCTAGGGGGACCAAGTGTAGGGTGTTGGTTTTTTCCTGATACACTGTCATGGTTTGCATCTTACCTACACTATATCAACTGTTCTTTGTATCTCCCTATGTGGTGCAAAGACTTTAGCTAATTTTAACCGTCTTTTAAAAAATCTGTAATTAGCAGTTCTCCAGTATTTTATATTATTAATTTGTAGTATACTCTTGAAAAAAGAGACATTTCCTTTTTCTAATAGCTTGAATTTGCAATAAATCTTTGGAAAGGCAAAATATTTTAAAAGCATCGGGAGAGGAAAACATTTTGTGTGGAAGTCAAAATTAAACCTATATGATAGAGTGGATTTTGTTAATCAGTTACTGGAGGAGGAAAAGGTTATGGACCTGAGTCTTGACACTTCAGTAAGAAGCAAGCAGACAATTTTTAAAAATATTTCAGGATCTGTCTAAGAATCTCCTGAGTACTCTCATTTTTCCTAAAAAATAGAGAAAAAAAACCCTGTATTTTTCCCTGAAGCTGCAGTGCTTGCTTTCTGTGTCATTTCAGTGAGACCTTTTCAAAGATAAATCACAACTGAGCAAGTTCATTTAAGTGAGATGCAGATTTAGCTTCTAAATTATCTGTTGGATTGGGTGTGTACATCTTACTTTTGGTTGGTTTGGGGTTTTTTCTTGTTTTGTTTTTGTGGGGTGTTTTGAGTGCCATTTAGTGTTTGGGGACTGTAGTATTGATCAGCTTTACATATTCTTGTAAATAAGAGAGAGATCACTGATATTTGAGGTTCTGTTGTAATATTTCATAGAAGACATCTGTGAACTTTAGGTGTTCATTTGTTCTTCTACCCCTGATTCAAGAGAAGGGAATATGCAAATTTGGAGCATAGATATAAAAATACTGGTTTTGCAGTTAACGAATCATACGTGCTTTAGACTGGAAATTTTATTTTTAGGAAAATCTGTAAATTACCTTTTCTTTTTTTCCCCCGCCCCAGTCGTTTTGGACAGTTGATAAGTGTTTATCTTGTGACTGGAAAAAATGTGGCCTATGCAAAATTTGCAGACAGAGCAAGTGCCAGCGAGGCCATAACTGCATTGCATGGCAAGATTGTGAATGGTGTGAGGCTGAAAGTGAGGTTGGCAGACTCACCCTCAGAGGAGCCCAACAAGCGCCAGAGAACTTACTGAGCAGGTGAGTACCCAGCCTGAGCCCTTACTTACCCTGGAGTCAGCTACCTGAAATAGTGACAGGTAAAGATTTGAAGTTAGATAATACAAACGTAGAATGATAAACTGTAAACCTATTCTTAACTAGCAAACTGAAATAGAATTTTTGATATGTCTGCGTGTGTATACACATATAAGGTTGTGTTCGAGGGTGCCAGGATGCGAGAGGAGAGAAGAATCTTGACTCCATGCATCAGAAGGCTGGTTTATTATATTATGATATATATTATATTAAAATGCTATACTAAAACTTTACAAAAAAGAATACAAAGAAAAGATTTATCAGGAGGCTAAAAGGACAGGAGTGATAACAAACAGCTCATGACTCTCAGAGTCTGAGCCAGCTGCATCTGTGATTGGCCATTAATTAGAAACAGCCAACATGCACCAATCACAGATGCACCCGTTGCATTCCACAACAGCAGGTAGTTATTGTTTACATTTCTTTCCTGAGGCTCCTTAGCTTCTCAGGAGAAAATCCTGGCAAAAGGATTTTTCAGAAAATGTCATGGCTACACACATACATACATACATACATCTATGGGTGTGTGTGCACTTATATATATACGCACGTGCACTTTATTTTATAAAAAGCAATTTTGATAATCCTTGAAAAAAAAATGAACCAGTTGATAAAAATCAATCTGGATGTTCATAGAAGTATCACTTTTGTACTTGGGAGAATCAGTTGACATTGAAAAGACTATGCAAAAATAAACAATGAAACAGATGTAAGCTTGTGTGTGTCTTTTTTTCGTTACTGTCATATGCCCTCAGTGGCATTGGGTAAAGATAAAAAGTTGAGCCCTTGAAGGGCAGAGGAGTGACAAGGTAAATAAAAAAAGGATGGGGGGGTACAGGTAAGATTGTCAGGTGGAACCAAAGGTTTGGGATATTTGGGTCATCTCTGTTCTCAGAAATCAGGTGTAGCTGAAAAATGTGGTAGAGGAGAAAATGAAGCAGAGCCTGTGGTGAAGGAATTGCGATAGGTGTTTGAGATAATTAGTTTGAGAACTTTATTATTTTATGTTTATGGCCTGTGAAAGCTGGCTGAACTCCTAGAGATGTTTTATATCTAAATGCCTTCAGGGACCAAAATTCAATTGTTCTTTTAAACAATGCTTTGCTTCAAATTATATTGACTTTCATCACATTTTTGAATTATTTTTATTTTTTATGCATTAGGACTATTGCCATAGGAGAATACAGTTGGGGGAGAAAAGCCTAAGCCCTTTTTTCTACAAAATAACTCTCAAATATTACTATAGCTTTCAGATATTTCCAGTACCATACTGTCTTCCTAGGGAATATGAAGTTTTAATTTAACTAATTCAGAAAATATCACTACTGTCTTTGCATCAGTATTTTCCCTTTAAGTACCTTTCTTTGTATAGATGTTATGACCCCAGAGTTGCAAAGACCAAAAAAAGCTTTTGCCCAAAGTGTTCTTTTTCTCCTTTTCTTCTAAGAACCTCCATGTTGCTGTTTTGATAAGCAGCAGAGACTAAACGTGGCCTTAGTTTTTATACACAACTTTTGTTTTGATAAGTTGGATTTCTGCGCATTCTTTTTCTGCGTGGAATTATAGCTAAAACTAAATTGAAACTTTTTTAATCATCAACTGTGGTGAATGCAATTTTAAGTAACTTGTGCCCATGCTCTTACCTTTGTACAGCATTTTGTTTTTAATGTGACTTTTGCTTTCAGCAATAAAAGCCCAGCCTCTCTGTCCCTACAGTTATTCCCTACAGGAATAACTATGATGTGAAGGGTAATATAATACAGGTCTGCCTTGTGTACTTTTTACTGGAAAAGTGTAAATACAACATGCATCCAAAATTAGAAAAATTATTTATCCCCATTTTTTCATACACCAGGTTCTTGATTCCAAGTTTCCTAGCAGGTTGTCTTGGCATCTCTCTCTTTTTAGGATAGACAGACAGACAGAATCACTTGTTCATTTGTCCTTTAGCTGGTTTCTCAAATTCAAATGAAGTGGTACCTAAAAGGCAAGATTGCCTTTCAAAAGGGCTTGACCATATAAGTGATTTTCCCCTGTCTGCCTTTGTGCTGGACTGACTGACAAGCTTTGCAGTAATTTGGAGGCTTATATTTTGCTTTTAATGAACGTGATAAATTGTGCATGTGTAAAGAGATGCAATTCTCCCTACCTCTGAAATAGTTGAGGGTTTTTTTTAAGATGTGAGAATACTTACTTTTTTCATTTTGAATTATAGGAAATAACCTTCCTAGCTAAAACTTCTGTGAGTTTTCACTTAAGGAAATAATTGCTTCTTAAAAAAAAATCCTTTCTAAAGTCCTGTTGTACTGCTTGCCTTTCATCTCTAACAAAGTGACTGGATTTCTAAAATAATCTTTTCTATACAAGGTTTTCTGATGAAAATTCATTATAAGATCTGTGAATTCTAGACTCTATGAAAATAAATGTCATTCAATTTCATAATTAAGTAACATATTTATTTTTTTAACACATTTGAAGTTTTGCCCCAACACCTTCTTATGCAAACAGCCGTTTTTAAAATACAGTTTGCAAAACTGTTTTTTAAAGAAGGTTATATGGTAACAGTATGCTACTCATAGTGCTTATGCAATGCAAACTTCTGACTATAAGAACTTTCTGTTACCTTGCAATAAACTTTGTTTATCAGGCAAGTTTGAATACGCATCTATTAATATTCTGAACTAATCCACTAATGAATTTTACAGTCTCTGGTTCTCCCACAAGTCAATGAAAATTAATTTGTTTATGTGAATAGTTAAAAGTAGCAGAGAAAAGATGGAAATACAGATCAGTAGGGTTCTCTTCACCACTTTTACGTTCTAATGTAAGTTTCTTAGGGGTTTCTTTTATGCTAAACAAGTATTTATGCCTGAAATAATCACTTCAAACTTATCTTGCTTTAAATCAGTGTAGGCTTGAGAACGCAACTGCAGTGTCTACTTCTAGGCAGTTGCTAAAGGCAGACCTGACTTAAAAATCTTGCTGTTGACCAGGTTGTGCTCTCAGCTCAGAGCTTTGTGTTAGTTGGAGTATTTTGTGGAAAGCTCACTGCAGTGTCTGATGCCAGTTACACACAGTGTGTAATTCGAAAATAGAAGAGGAAGGGAAGAATTTGCTGTCAGAAGTCGTCATTGTGGCATTCCAATTAATCTCTTAATTGCTACCTAGTAGTTCTATTCAAATACCATCCCCACTCTTGGAAACCCCCCAAAACTACTAAGCAAGAGACCCACAAGCAAACAAAAACCCCAAACCCACCCAAAATGTCTGTCATAAAGCTTTCAAATAGTCCTTGAAAGCAGAGTTTCTAACCAGCTTTGTGTTAGAAATGCCAGACACAGCTATGTGGAGCTAATTTCTGTGGCTTTTGATACTCATTGTGATTGACAGCAAATGGATTCATTGCATTTTTCCCCTGCTGAAAAAACTTGGGTGTTTTTAATAATTATTTAGTTACTAAGTTGAAAAAAATAATTTATTCTGTCATAAAATACTTGCTTATTTTTGTCTTTGGTTATTCTTGTCTGGAAGAAGTGCTGCATCACTGATTTCATTTGCATTCATTTTTTGACTTAAACCTTTCTTGAAATCCTGATATTAGTATGTATATATTTTAAGGATTTACTGCTCTACAAAAATGTTTTTAAAAGGTAGTTGTATCATAGTTGTGATAGACATTAAAAAAATAGCTGTCTTTTGTATACTGCAGAAAAAATACTGGCTTTTATACACAGCTTAGAGAAATAGATGCTTCTTTAAAAGTTAGACAGGCATGCTTAAAACTTTAGTATTATTCTTCTAAAGATGAATACCTTATTTATATGCTGTTGTAATGATTATATTTTATAATATGTACTTTGAAATAAAAATAGGTATGTTGCTTTTGATACTATTTTTGTGCTTGTGTTTTTTCTACAGAAACTAAGTAATGACATGACCCTCAGCTAGCTGACTGACTGACTGAAAACGTGACTAGACATGGTTCCTGTGGACAGTGACAGCTTTTTTCAGTGACAACTTTTTTTTTTTGTTAATTGTTACTTAGTTGATCTCTCTATGATCCTTTCTCTTTCTGAATATGCAGACATGCAGTTTTGAAAATTATGTAGGCATTAAAAACTGTAAACTGGTGGTTGTTCTTGTAATAGTATATAACCTTGTATTACAGAAATAGCTCTTGTTTTTACCTGAATCCTTCTTATAAGATGGAAATTACAATGATGGAGGAAATAAAGGAGCCAGCATTTTCTGACTTGAGTGGTTAATTGATAATGATTAAGATTCTGTTAAAATATAAGACATCTCTCATGATCCAAATTGCATTGGAAAGTGAAGTACAGCAGTTAATTCAAAGAAAATGAAGTAACTTTAACAATGCCAGCAGACATGACAGTATTAATCTAGATTTAAGAAAATTTCTGTAAACAAGAAAATAATTCAAAGTACATTCTTAAATATTTTGTTTCTTTGGGCCACAATTATTAGTTCTGCTGTTTAGTGAAAGGAACATTTGACTCTGTCAGACTATCAAAACTTATATTTATGCTTTCTTATCCTGAGGTCTTTTGGCTATAACTGCAGGGAAACGGTGAAGTCTAGGGCTGTGGGTTTATTTCTTTATTTCTGTTAGTTTTGTGGGATTGGGGTGTTTTGTTTGTTTGTTTGTTTTTTCCCCAGAAGCTTTCAATGCATATGTTCAAGTAAGAGTTGGACAAGTCAAGTTTTCA